TCACTTAGATGTAGTAATTAGTTTAAATAGCGCTCTGATACTGAGTGGGTTTAATCAACAACTCTCCACTATAGTTTTCAGACTCTTCAATCTCCCAACTCGCTTCACTAGTGATATTAAATACAAGCCTAACAGCTTACGCTTCTCTATACAACTTCCATTCCAACAATTCTTCGTCTTGCTGGCCATCATCAAGCTCAGAGTTATGGATAGATTAAATCTTTAACAAGCAAGTCAAGCAAAAGCGTGCCGCCAGAGAGAAAACCTCAGGCTCCTTGGACCAGTGCCAAAATCCACCCAGAATAACCCTCCGGCCAGTTGGTCTCATTCCCCGGAATCTATATGTATGTACACAGGAATTCATCAACTTTTCAAATTAAGTTTTTAACACGACACCTGCTGTTCCTGATCGTCCACAGCCTAAGAGTATCGTATGAATACCAACATCGGTAACGGGCCTTTCGAGTCGTGTCTGTCTGGAACTGATCGTTGGAGTCCTGGGAGTGATCTTATATCGGTCTACCGGAGATTGGAGACCGACGTAGACGTGGCCACTAAAACCGTCGGGCGTCACAGATGTTCTGCCTACAGTCAACAAATTAAAAATAAAAAAACACGGTAATTCTTTTGAGTCCATGTTTCCATGCCGTACAGAGGCCCACAAGGCCCAAAGCAGTTTATGATCAATAGTTTGCGAGGCCAAGGCCACAAATAAAGTCACTGGCTGAAGAACTGCTTCCTCACCTTGACAATGAGGTGTTGTAGGATTACAGCTCAGGTATAATTTCGGCCGCTGGCCTGAGAATAATTCCACCAGTCACTGTCCCCAATGGGTTGGCAGAATCGGCATCAAACATCCGGATGGGATCGCGTCGTATCCATATAGCTAAAGGCCGAAGAACTACTCCATGATATCAAGGGGCCATATCTGGCCGATTGTCACGGTTCTTGTGTCGATACTGGAGCAATCAGATATATGAAGGTGGGTTATAATTTTCTCTATGGCTATGTTAAGGGTGAGGAGAATTACGGACACCGCACGTAAATAGTACCACAAAGAGTTAATATTTTTCTATAGAGATTTACTACAAGAAGTCCTCTACATTAACTACGCCCGCTGTAGCCACCATTCATCCTGTTTCCTGACATGTATTCTTTTGCTACTGAGTGATCTGATAACCAGCCTCAGTATAATTAACCGAGTGATTCGAGTCGGGAGAAACTCTACTAAACATCACGTCGTTAGTGTCCTTGAACGAGGCTGAGCCTGAAAGATAGCCCAGCTTAACCGAACTGGGCACAGCCCGTAACAGGCTAACTAACAATGCATTACTTCAAGGAGGACTAAGGCTGAACACCTATCTGTGGTGTCCTCTACGAACCTGGGAGTGAAATAATCTCCCAGAGCCGAGATTCAGTCACGTCAAAGGGTGAATTTAAGAGTTTTCGTCGAGTTGGCGATCGGGAGGAGTGGTGTTGGCTCATTTTTGGTCGAAAATCCGACTTGCAGAGATTTCACGTCTGCGCAACTCAACGAAATCAACCATCTGCGCCCCAGATAAGAACTACAGACTGGTTAAACCCTATCCGATGTTCGTATCACAACAACCGACACCTTCAAGATCTTATTTTCTTTTTCTCTGGAAAATCATTCTCAGCCAAACTCATCTCGCGGCCCTCTCAACAATCATCTCACCACCTACCGAAGCAATCCCATACCTCCAAAAGCCAAATCGCCATTAAAGAAGCAAGAGGATGTCCAACCCTACGCAACTGCCAGTCGCTGTGAAGGTACGGTCGAAATACCGGCCTTAAATGCGTCCTCACCTCGGCCAAGGGCGCAAACAACTCGACCTGCGACGAGTCGCCACCGAAGAAGTACGTACGACATTTCACCGGCACACTAACTAGAGCGTTCGACAAAGGCCGGGGCACCGGTGCCTCGTTCTTGAGCTTTCAAACACATTTTTGACCTCCACGGTTGGGGGTACGGCAGTGACGGGGCAAGGCCGCAGGGGTGGACATTCAACAAAGTTTCTAGGATGAAGAGATCGGTCGAAGGACAGAGAGATGCTGCATGAAGGAACAAAAGGGAATATAAACTGAGGAGGCCTTGGTGGGCGACTGGATGAGGCCTCCAGTGAAGAAAACGACACCTGGATGTGATGAGGATATGCTGAGATGAGCCAAAGCTACGAATGAATCGAAGGGAAAAGTTACCGACGGCGAAGGTGTCAAGGGCTCGGGCGCGTGGTGGCCGAGGCTGAGGAAGAATTTGCGCTTCGGCGCATCAAAAGGGGGTTCTTCGGACGGTTTAGCTTGACATGATTCAACACATTAATAAAGTCTGAGGTGGTTCGGTCATTCAGGTGGGACGATGTAAATGTACTTTACGGTACTTAACCTGGTCCAGCCGGGCCCCACCCGTGATCAAGCTCCAGTAGGAGTGCAACGGGAATCACTTTACCTAGCATGTAAATGGACAAAATGCAATACTTCAACTATTTGAATTAGTCTCGTATAACGTCCTATGCCGTATCTATATAAAGAACCATGAAGACGGTAAACCGCTTTGGTGTGGGAAAAAGCTTTCAACAAACAAAACCCGATGTCCTGCCTCTCTGAGCCGATCCGGCTAAATGCTGAGGACGTTCCTTTCAACCATAATTCTATAAATTTTCCCTAGAATTCGTTAACTCCCCCTTCAATCAGACTAAAGTCATGAGAAGTTAAAGAGACATAGCACCTCCTCACTCGGCGTTGGTCTTCGAAGTGTTCGAAGAGTTGGCCCCGATGGTGGTGCTACTGTCGAGGCGATGGTTGGTGCCGCTGGGGCTTCGACTACCTTGCGTGGTCGTCCCGGCCCTCTTTTGAGTCCTTCAGCCTTTTTACTGGTGACCAAAATGGATCCCTGACCATCAGTCGTTCCGACTGTTCGCATTGGCGCCATGATAGGTTTTTCGTTCCATATATCTGCCGTTCTCGATAGCAGCTCCATCCGAGCCTTCTCCACACTTCCCTTGTAGACCTGGTAGGTCCGACATGCTGCTTTTTGCCATGAACGGTGTTCCTTGCCGCAGTTCGCACAAGAAACCCTTTTCCTAGGGCAGTCCCGAGTTTGGTGAGCACCTGCGCACTCACCGCACCTGGCTGCGTGTGAAGGAAACCAAGTTGGTTGTGAATATATCGATTTATTAAACTATATGAGGAGAAAAGAGAACTCTAGCTACGACTAACAGGTATTTATAAGAATTGGTCCCCTTCGTCAATCTCCAGACTCATGACTTATCCTTAGGCACAATACTTGCTACCCAGCCACGCATTGCCAGGTGTTACTTAGTTGTAGTAACGCTTCGACCTCCTGACTAGTAGTGCTGCCTAGTTGTAAATATTCCCAACAATCCGCTTAGGTATTCACCTAAGCTCAAATAGCGGTCAAACCGTAACACTGCGTTTCCTGCGCGGTGAAGAGCATGGCATTAATGACGAGGCCCTTTCGAACTACCTCCGTTTGCTTTGCCTCTGATGGGAGGCTGACCACAATTGATCCTCGACTGCGACTGTTTTTCTTCGATCGCTGGTGCTCCTTTCCATCATGTAGCCACTTGATTCGATTAATCACTAGGCCCGGAATTCGAGCCTTAGTTGCTATCTCAATCTCCCTGATGATAGCGTGGTTTTGGGCATCTCTACCACCCTCAATTCGAGTCCGCAAAGGGACACCAGAAACCTCGACGGGAAAATCTTGCCGTAGAATCTTAAATTCGTTGGGTTGGCGCATGTTGAGCGTCGCGTCTCTCTAGGACGCCGACTGGACGAACACCTCTGTGTCGTTGCTTCGCATTTGGCGAATCGCGTATGCGCCTTGGATGTGTTGTGCCTTTGAAAGCAGCTCTTTGGGCTGCAAGTTTTGTGCGCCGTCGGTTCTTATTCTGACCGCCGTTTTCGCCATTTGCGGAGCTACGACCGACGCGTAGGTCCTTGGTAGCGGCTTCCCTGTCGACACGACAGGAGCTGCTTGTCGTGCGACGTCCGCGACACTTTTCTTTACCACCTCCTCCAACGCTATCATTCTCTCCTCGATCGACTTCAACTATTTATACATGTATAAAAATATCTAGAATACTAGTTGTTGGCTGATATCTGCTTCTAACAAATTCCACTAATATTATTACCCAGTCTTGCTACCAATTACTTGAATATTCCAGTTACAGCTAAACTGATCTGGAATAAAGCTAAACTGCTGTAGAATTATAAAATTTCAGGATTGCAATCACGTACCACACGACAATCGGCTCACAAGCCGTAACACCGATCTCGGCGTCCAACCAGAAGTATATCTTATCTTAGTATCTAAATAGCTGCAGTGAATTGTCATCTGATTAATCAGTGACATTCTACAATATTGTCATGATTTTTGCAGGGTGATGCCAAAATACGAAAGTAATCGAGCGAGTCATTGATTACTAGTATAACCGACAGGAAATTGATATCAAGGTCTTGACATATTTCAACACGAGAGCTTCTGAGTAGCAGGTAGTATACTATTGAAGGAACATTCGTTCAAAGTTTGAAGGTATAAAATACTTACTTTTCCTACTGAAGTCTTATATACAGCAAGATAAAATATTTATTTATCAAATTTTAATCGTGAATTCGTAGAAATCTACATGAATATTTCATCATCAGGGACGGCAAACATATTGTTGTTATCACTTAATTATGTATATGTAGTTTAGCTGTGACATATTGTAGAGTATATGCCTGATATGCCTTGGGAAGTAGTATCTGTAATTCAGTCTACCAACAAGGACCCAATTATTAGGGATTGGGTCAAGTAATAATCAACCATCGTTTTCACCTAGTCCAACTATTCAGATCTGAATAATTAACCCAACACATGTCAAGTAGGCTTTTGCGGATACGAGCAAGAATGAGGTCATTGTTACACTGCAATTAAGACTATAGTATGGTACAAAATTGAACTATTTCTTCAACCCTCATTCAGATCGTAAAATAGTTTGATGTCTCTTTTTAACACTTCTCTTTTTGACGCCTTTTTCGAACTGAGCAACAGATGCATGGTCTCTTCCTAGATTATCTAGGGCCTTAACTTTATAAATTCGAATAATCCAATTCTCACTAGTAAAAGCTTCATCTAGACTGTGGAGAGTGGGGCCCACATCGGGCATCTTTACTCCACGCACGCGATCTTGCGTTTGGCCGGCGGGAAAGATGGCATGATAGTTATAATAAGACATCTTGTACCTAGTGTTGTGTTAGTCACAAGAGGAAGGCTGAAGAATGTTGCTTACATCAGGCTATCTTTCATGGTTTGGGTTGCACCTTCGTCCACTCTATATTCTCCCCTTGCGGTAAAAAAATTGCGCTCCTTTACCTCGTCGGGCCAAATACCCTCGGCAATTCGTACCATCCACAAGAACTTATTGATATCGTCTCCGGAATATCCTAGTAGTCCACCGAAAACAACAAGTACATAGTCTACTTCATGCTGTCGCATAATTGGATAGCTCACCTCTTCACTTGAGCTCATGGCCTTTCCAACGGTAGCAATATGAGTGTTGTTCCATGTGTTGTTGTCGACTAGAGTTGGTCGATCAGCCATTCCCCCAATCTGATAGCCGTAGTCCCACCATGACATTATCTTGGAATTGGTGGGTGTATTTTGACGGAGCCATTGATACGCTTCTCTATAATCGTCGATTATGTGTTGGCTTCCATCTGGCATCCTACTAGCGAGGACTACCGATGGTGAAGAGTAAGCATTTGAAGTAACCCAGGTACAATGAAGTATAAAGAGTAACAAGTACGCGGTGATAAAGCTGACGGTTAAGGACTTTGAGAAGGAAGTATATATTCCAATAAATGGCAAGCGTGAAGGTCGAAAGCTCCCTGGGCTATTAGGTTCTGTAGTGATACTTGTGCCTTCTTTCACTTTAGTAGGAACAGTCTGATCAAGAGGTTCTGGAGGTGAATAGATTGTTAAGTATATATCGAGAATTTTGGATAGAACTAAAGCAGCGGTGACACAAACAACAGGCGTTAGTGTTAGCATAAGACGAACCATAACACCGGCAAAGTAGCTAGCGAGTATGGAATAAACGACAAGAAAAACATGCTCATCGCCAAGTTTTTGGAAGCAGAGGTATACACCTGCCGGGAAGAGCCAGATCAAAAAGCTAAGATCGAAGAAAAATGAGGGCCAGGCTGTTGGTTGATGCTCTGAAACGGATGCTATAATCGGGATGTGAATTTTTGCGTATCCGGTATCCCACAAAGAATAAAAGCGGCCTGTCCACGGTGCAATGACACCAGTAAAGGTCAAGAGAGCCAAGACACCAAGTGCGAGGGTAAATATTGTGAGTACAAATCCTCGAAGTAGAATTGCGAATTGTTTACTTGGCACGTAAGCACGAACCAGTTCGACGAAGCCGACTAGCTGAATAAGTCCAAACATCCCTATTTATTGTGAGGTCTAATATAAAGAGAAAATGGATTGAATTACCAAGTGCCGACATGTGCTCGCTACTTCGAATAGGAAGAAACCCCACGAACGGAATCTGCATGCTTGCTAAAGTCCCTAAAGCATACCAAGTGCAATAGCTGACATAGAGACGAGGACTAAACCGTCCCATACATAGCAGGACGAATACATGGAGTGGTATCAAGTTTGTAATAAATAGATAACCACCCCAGGCCGAGACCATGTACCCATAAGAGAGAGCACAGAGAGCACCCCAAAAGGCTGAACCCAACTTTAGGGCCTTGATCCATAGGTAAAATGTAAATACAAGTAGGAAGATCGCAATAGCCTCGTTATCATAGCTGCCCGCAACTGATCTGGAAATATATCCAGGAGCTACACCCATGAATATAGCAGCGAGAAGCCCAGCGGATGGAGATGTCGAAACCTCATTGGTGAAAAGGTATATTGCGTATGCAGTCAATCCTGAAAATGCTGGTGCTAATAGTACACAAATATTTCGAATATCGACGGGTATCGTTAGGGCTCGAAGAGCGTGGTAAATGGCACCACTTGTCACCATGAGTCCTGGGTATAGAGTCCCTCCAGTTACACGCCCCAAGGGATGCCAGGTTCGGTCATCAAACCAATCCCAAAAATTATAAAAGCCATTTTGAACTAAGTATTTTGTTGCTCTAAAGTTAAACCAAGGATCGACTTATGTTTTATCAGTCCAGAATCTTGAGAGTTTAGGGCTTTGCTACTAACACTCGTGTATGATACTCTCGAATCCTGTCAAAACGCAAAGTTAATATTTTTTCCATTAGCTTAAAAAATGATGTATCCCGTCCAGGAATTGACCCAATCAAAGAATTAGTGAGTACGTACGAATTACTGAAAAGAGCCGACTAGATATAGCTGCGGCGGCGACGAGGCATAAAATGACCAGACGAAGGATACCTCTGGCATTTTTTCCAGTCTCACCTCGGAGAAATGGTTCAGCAAGGGATTCTGACATGATGAATCTATGCCGATGTTGCCGAACGTTGCCTTGTAATTTTTTGCAACTTGTTATTTCTATGTACACAGCTTCTTTGCTGCAGGGATAGCAAATGATGAGCTAACACGTGACGTGAACGGCGTTTCCACAGGAGCTTATTCTAGCCCAGTGAAAGCTTAGCCTTGCGAAATCAAATAGACCAAGAAAGCTTAAGACGGTAGTTAAGGTGGAACATAATCGGGGTACGAACCTCTATATCCACAAGAAAATAATGGGAGGGCAAGACTAAACACCTATACACGGTGTCCTCACGAACCTGGGAGTGAAATATTCTCCCAGAGCCAAGTTCAGTCAAATTTCGCGATATCAAAGAAGTTGGCCCACGAGGCAAAATTTCAAATTACTCTTCCACGTCGCTTTTTCGCTCCCAACGAGTTTGACGCCTACCTAAGTCTCATCAAGTCTACAAGTACGACCTAGTACATCCTCATCCCAATGACCATACCTCTCGTCGACTTTCTCTGGCCTCAGTTGACCACCAAATACACGCCCACGCCGATATCTATACCCGACGGAGGAAGCAAAGCGTGGCGCATAAATTTTGGAGACAACTCTTTGGGATGAACGTGAGAGGGATTAAGACAAGTTCACAAGATGATGCAAAGGAAGTATACAAACTCGACGGACGTGACATTTTAAATTTTGGCAAGAAGTCTTACAAACTGAACTTTGTTCGCGCCAAGACTTCGCTTGCGAGAGTGCAGCTGACACTATCAAAACAAGCCAACGATGGAAGGCGTTACAGATCGCCTCCTGGTGGTGTTCTCTGATATGGTATGAGTAACCTGAGCACCTACTTCGCTTGGGAAGGAGACGCCTCAGATCACATCTCGCGCGGGGGAAAGATAATGGATGATTGATGCATGTCTGGATAACTCAGGGTTTTTAAGACGTTTCCCTGGTTGGGTATTCACGGATGAGGGTTGACTTGGCGTGAAGAAAAATCCACCATAACTTCGCAGTGGTACTTGCAAATGAAATCCGAGGCATGACTGCTCTTCTTGTAAATTGAGTCATCTTTTCTGTAATTTTTCTCTGATATTATGTCACAGCTAGATAGGTGCATACGTTCTCAAAATCTGATGCAAAAAAAAAATGAGCTCTACATATTTAAACGTTATTGAAGTCAGAAAACGTCTTAGATAGCTTTTGTAGTTCTTGATGTTCATAGACTCAAAATGGACAGAGGTAATGTCATCGTCATAGCTATATAGCTGAAAACATTATGAATTTTGAAAAAAAAAGACTTAAAGGGGACCAAAATGGGATTTAATTTCATTCAAATATCGAAGCTTGTTGGATAGACTGCGGTGTGGTTTCACGATCGATCGTAATGATTCAGTAAAGAGTTGTACGATTCTGTGTTGGTCTAAAATGGTCATAATTGTCTTGTCTACTGCGCTGTACAGGATTCACAGCTTTACTGTGGATTCTAACTAGCGCATCTGTGCTGAGGTCTTCATGTGATCCCCACATGATGACACATCTACTTTTACGTCTTAGATAAACCAACAAAGCTCAAATTTCAAATATATTTTTATCGCAGTGTTTTTAGCTATTTAGCCAGAAAAATTTTAAATACATTTCAGGTACATCTGTAAAAATAATAAAAATTTACCCACAATGTAAATTGTATCCGCATTCCAGGGTGTTTGGAAATTATATCGGGCTTAATAGTCATTGTGTAAGATTAGTCAAGTAGGCATCTGCTCGAGTACCACTATTGACGACAAAGACGAATTCTTTCCCTTTCAGAGGTGCCGGTGTAATCGCACATTATGCTATGCACATTTGGGATAGTCTAGATAAATCACGCCCGAGTCGAGGTCGGAAGCAGATACAAGCACATCTCAAATTGACGACTTTTCATCATGGATAGATCTAACGTTCTCGTGCGAGGCCTCCAACTTGATCACACCAGAAACTAACTCGCCTCAACGACTTATTAAGTACTTAAACCAACTGCAAACGGGAATTTACCTAATCAAATATCGGCCATCTCCTAATAAAAAGTAGTGATGCTATGTATACCCGCGAGGAAGTTAATTTATGATATTCAAAGCTCGGGCCTTGATATCTGTGCGGCCGTTTTTCTATTAGGGCTTCACATATTGAGGGAGGAAAGGATATTGGGACTTTGAACGAGAGATGGTAGAGTACTTTAATGGAGATGCTGGGACTGCCATTTTTGAGAGCTCTTCAACTTTGGCCGCTTGTGAGCGCCAAGACAAAGATTTCGAATAATGCTACCGATACCTTAAATACAGGACATGTCAAGGCGGAAGAAGTGGAGGAGATTGACGAGGTCGAACCTTGCAAAATATATTGCCTCCAAAGGTGATTGATTTGGTTTCGGGAAGATCTGAATTGTTCTGAATTCATGTCGTATCAGGCTCACGCCCTACACCCAACAGGCATGATATTGATCTATACTCCTTGGGGACTTACTACAACCTAAGTACATAGTTTGCTTGTCAAACGTATACGCGAAACATTAATATTGAATTAATTTCAAGAAAAGTCGGCGCCCTGCGTCTTTCCTCCTTTCTCACGACCCTTTGTCCTGACAAGATTCTACTTTGGCAGGACTTCATCATCTCGTGACACTTAATTACCAATAAGAACTGAAGAAAAATTTCCCGACCCTTTTCTGCCAGCACCTCCCGTTCTCTCGGCGGTGGTTCATGCTTCAAGTTTCCCCATTGCTGTAGAGCAATACGGCATTCGGCAAAATGCTAAGGACGTTTCTCCCTTCCACACACGCATTTGCAGTTTCCAAATTCGTGGCCAAAACTTTCTTTTTTTGTACCAGGTTTTAACTGCGTATGCACCTATCTAGCTGTGACATAATATCAGAGAAAAATTACAGAAAAGATGACTCAATTTACAAGAAGAGCACTCATGCCTCGGATTTCATTTGCAAGTACCACTGCGAAGTTATGGTGGATTTTTCTTCAGGCCAAGTCAACCCTCATCCGTGAATACCCACCCAGGGAAAAGTCTTAAAAACCCTGAGTTATCCAGACATGCATCAATCATCCATTATCTTTCCCCCGCGCGAGATGTGATCTGAGGCGTCTCCTTCCCAAGCGAAGTAGGTGCTCAGGTTACTCAAACCATACCAGAGAACACCACCAGGAGGCGAACTATAACACCTTCCATCGTTGGCTTGTTTTGATAGTGTCAGCTGCACTCTCGCAAGCGAAGTCTTGGCGCGAACAAAGTTCAGTTTGTAAGACTTCTTGCCAAAATTTAAAATGTCACGTCCGTCGAGTTTGTATACTTCCTTTGCATCATCTTGTGAACTTGTCTTAATCCCTCTCACGTTCATCCCAAAGAGCTGTCTCCAAAATTTATGCGCCACGCTTTGCTTCCTCCGTCGGGTATAGATATCGGCGTGGGCGTGTATTTGGTGGCCAACTGAGGCCAGAGAAGGTCGAAAAGAGGTATGGTCATTGGGATGTGGATGTACTGGGTCGTACTCGTAGACTTTATAAAGCTTAGGTAGGAGTCAATCTCGTTGGTAGTGAAAATTTAAGATGGCGGAACAAACTTGAATCAGTGCCTCGTAGGCCAACCTTTATTATAATGCGAAATTTGACTGAACTTGGCTCTAGGATATTATTTTACTCCCAGGTTCGTAGAAAACACCGGGCACAGTTCTTCAGTCTTGCCATCCGTCCAAACCTTTTATGGTAGCTTCTGAAATCGCCATGTCTAGTCCTTGCTACTACCCAAGCGGTGATGCGTCCACTTCGGAAGTTCTAACTCCGGTAGACGTTTTAGTTTCATTCAGAGATCCAACTCCTCGTAGCAGCTTGATCTGTGTTCCAGCCACCAGTATTCTGCTGCTTCCTCAGATCTTTGCCTGACAAATCGGTTGAGGACTGCGAATGTGTATCTAGGTGTGTCTCTCGTTTCTGAGGAAGATGTAGCTGTTTCATCCAGTAGATTCCTGAGGGCTTCTTGAGCCAGTCTATCTGTATCCTTATTTCCCGTGATCCAAGAAACTTCAGGAGGGTGACTACTTTTAACACCTGTCAGTGGTGTCCCCTACAAACCTTCAGCTCTATCTGTAGAGTCTGCAGAGCTGAGATTGAGTAACAAAGTCCTCACTTCGATGAGGATTCCCATTCGCTATCGCGGTCGGTATCGTCTTCATTTCTTAACTTAACCCCATATCATCATTATCATGAAGTTAACCAAGATCGGATCAGATGGTAGGGTCGAAGCCCTTCTCATCACCAACCCTTGACCATGAAGGAAAAGCCATCCGATGAGTTTCCGGAGCGTACCCAGGACCCGATAGGGAGATGGCGGATTGGATCATGTCGATCTGGAATGTTACAAAGAAAGGAGATATAGATGAATATGCACTCCTCATGTGGCTCCGATGTCTAGGCCTCGCCTGGCTGGGGCTGCAGGTTTTTTGAGACTTTTTCCCGCGCACAAAGTTTCCATTGCTACCATTTCTTTTGGGTAGAAGATTCCGTGGAAAAGGTGGCCGAATTCGACGGGTAAACACTGAGCTGAATGGCTGTTAATCACGGGCAATATATCAATGACCTTTCAAGTAACAAAAGAGGCAAGGAGTACTGTACAAGGCGTGGCCTGGACCAAAGAGGAGCTCAATTTGCTAGATAGTATTGACTCGAGCAGCACAATAGACATATATCTCTCTTTCTCTCTGATTCAAAAAACCAAAAAAAGCTACGATTAAAATTAACACCCAGAAAGACCCAGATCATAGTGTTAAAGTTATCACTAATCTTCGACATCCAAGTCTCACAAGACAATACGAAATTGTTGATTCTTCTAGTCAGGCCATTTATTGTGCTCAAAGCCCAGGTCAGAAACTACTGGAATGTTACCTTGATCATCGCCAGTGATCGAGAGCGTGGTGATTGTTCGTTCATGAGCTACTTATGAGAACCATAATTATCTGTAAAAACACCCCAGGAAAATACCATCGTGGATCCAAAAGTCAGTGTATTTCGATTAAAACATGGTTCTCTTGACGTGATCTCGAAATTGAACTTGGTGTTGATCGCTCGCTCAAATAGACGTGTAAGGGCTGATGAGCATCTTGGAGTTCAGTTGGGTCAGATGACGCATGGTGAGGAGAATCTTCGTACGGTTTAGAACTCCATCTCCTGCCTCGTCACATAGACTAAGCTTATCAAAGTCGTATCTTTGATCAGAATCCACTCAGATATAAACTCAGACACAACTAAAATCGTCTATTGTCGGCCTGAGCTTACACACTTTTCATAATCATCTCATTACTTCTTCAAAACGCCATCGATTAGTCTATTTTCGTCATGGGTAATTCGGAGGCTCCTACTAATGTTTGTCCCCTGTGACTTTTTTTTCAACATCTGACTACTAATTCACGGCGATAGAATCTTTCCTTCATTCTTAATAAGCCACATGATGTTATATTTGCACAGCAACCTATACCGACACTTCAGTCGCCCCACCATGTGATTGTTGCTATTAATTATACCGGAATATGCGGCTCAGACGTCCACTACTGGGATCACGGTGCAATTGGCTCGTACATTCTGGAGGAGCCAATGGTGCTCGGCCATGAGAGCGCAGGAACGATTGTTTCAATAGGCAGCGCTGTTAAAACGCTTCAACCCGGAGATCGCGTAGCCCTAGAACCTGGCACACCTTGTCGGCACTGTGAGCCATGTCTGGCCGGTCATTACAACCTCTGTCCCGAGATGCAATTTGCTGCGACCCCCCCATTTGGTGGTACCTTGACGGGATTCTACGCTGCCCCCGAGGATTTTTGCTACAAACTTCCCGACCACGTTACCCAACAAGAAGGTGCTCTAATCGAACCCCTCGCAGTTGCCGTTCACATGGTGAGGCAGGCTATGGTCCAGCCTGGGCACAGCGTTGTTGTTATGGGTGCAGGCCCTGTTGGCTTATTATGCTGCGCAGTCGCCAAAGTCTTTGGCGCCTCAAAAATTATTTCAGTTGATATTCAACGCTCGCGGGTTGATTTTGCCCTTGAACTAGCCGCCACGCACTCCTTTATACCGGGGCAAGTTTCTATCAAGGAAAATGCTACACGCCTTCTCTGCGAATCTAAACTAGGTGCTGGAGCTGATGTAGTCATTGATGCAAGTGGGGCCGAATCGTCTATTCAGACTAGTTTACATGTTGTGCGTCGCGGTGGTGTGTATGTCCAAGGCGGTATGGGCAAAAACGATATAACATTCCCCATCATGGAGCTGTGCCTAAAGGAGGTGACAGCCAAGGGTAGTTTCCGCTACGGCAGCGGTGATTACAAGCTTGCGGTCGAGCTTGTATCGTCGGGACAGGTTAATGTCAAGAAATTGATTACAAGTGTAGTAAGCTTTAGTGAAGCAGAACAGGCGTTTAAAGATGTGAAGCAAGGGAAGGGTATCAAGTGTTTGATTGCCGGACCCAACGAGAAGATCTAGTTGGATAATACGAGCTGCATCCAATGGCGGTTTGAATACTTTTGTAAGGCTTGAAGATACATCTATTTTCTCGAGGAATCACTCGTTGGATTCTTTCATCAAGACACTGGATGCAGTTGATTCATGACTATCACTATAACACTTTGTATGGCGACTTGATATCATTCTATTATTCCTAAAATCTATTTGTGTTTACTGAACTTTCTCAGGCATTTTCAACACCCCTAAATCATGATTTGAGCCCGCGATTCTGAGATTAGCTTGTTCAAAATATTAGCTTGATCCAGAACCCCTCATCATCACAGTCCATCCAGGAGCTATTTACGTTTCACCTCTCAGACTATCTTGGTAGACTTCGAATCATACCAATCAACTGTAAGAAGACGGCACCAGCCTGTACATGTTAGAGCCTTCGGGTCAATAGAAAAATGTAAAGTAAAAGTCTGTTGGTGAAAGTCTATCTGCCCTAGTATAAAGAAAAACCACTGTATATACACATGTCTCCTGAGAATACCTACTTGTGATGATGAAGTGCATGAGCGTCTTCCCACGGTGTATCAGGACTAATACTTTCTAGAAACATCGTGGTTCTGCTTGAGACTGCCCTTCAAACGTCCGAGGAAATACTCCAACCCAAAACAGCTTTCAATGATGCCCTACGACTCATCAAACGACGTAGTTTGACCAAAGCCATACCATTCAAACAATTCAATATTTGACAGTACATAATATCTGCAAGGGTTTTCGCTATAAAATCTTAACCAAAAAAAAGGTAATATGAGTTAAAGCTTTTTCTCAGCGCTTCTGCCGAGATATAGTACACAGATATATTTGTTGATAGATGCTTGCCCAAACCACGACCGAAGCTACATAATGGCAGCAGCTTAAACGAAACAGAACATGTTTTTAATCATTTAATAATAACTAGAATCGGGTTCCCGAGCATACCTCCTCGATCGCTCTGCTAGGTTCATCAAGGTGATGAGCGCATGCGTGTGCTGCATAGTTCCCTCCTAATAGATCCGCGTCGCAGCCCTTCAGTTGTAAACAAAAACCATTTCATCTCCTGGTACTATTTGATAAAGAACTGCAATCTTCTCACTATTTTGGAGTATCGCATGAGTGAGACGAGGCCGAACCAGATTAACCATCATACATAGTACATTAGATCATGGCGCAGGAGGATTTAGGTTGAATACCTGCCCCGGCACTATCTACAAACTCACGGTTTAAAGGTTTCCTCGGTGCCGAGATTAAGTCACGATAAAGTGTATCATTGAGAGGGTATGTTGAGATTGCGTTGGCTCGTTTTTGAGGGAAAGCCCAGCCTGCAGAGATCAAACGTACTCAACCCGACAAAATTGAACTTTTACCCCTAAAATTCGAATCATAAATGACCCCAAACTCATCTAACTCCTATCTTAAACCAACATAGAACCTCGACCATCATTATTTTGCTAAAAGGTCTTTCCCAGCTATAGTAGTCTCAAGTGTGACGGCTATTGAGCCGAAAAGGTACCTGTGGCCCTTGCTCTTCAGCACAGGCATATTGATAATGCCAGCGCTAAGTCTGGCTGGTAATCAAAGTCTGACACTACCCGGGGACGAAGCACTGTCGGTAACTAACTCCCACCTTGATAATGGGGGCTTGATTGGATCATAGCTACTTGTCTTCGGAATGGTAGGATCATGAATATAAATAAGGCGTTGGATGTAGCAGCAGTTTCGTTCTTCAGTTAGTAAATAGATTAGCTTGGGACATACAAACGCCAAAACTTTATACATTGAAACCGTCGCACCGAGAGCCGCTCCATAACAATCTCACTATCTACCGAAGCTACCCAGAATCCAAAGGTAACAATTACAATCTAAGATATAAGGGGTGTCTACTCTTCAGCAAATACTGTGCGCTATGAAGGTACGGTTGATGTACTGGCCTTAAATGTGACTATGCCTCGGTCAGGGGCACCAATGACTCGACCTACGACGAGTCATCACAGACGAAATACGTTAAATATTTTCCCAGCAAGTCAACCAGGGCATCGGATAAAAGTTGAGTTGTTAGTGCCTACGTACCTCGGTCTTGTTCATTTCGCCGTATTTTCGACCCCTAAGGTTTGGGGTACTGTCGGGGTCGGATATGTTTGAAGTTTCTAGGACGAAGAGATTGACCAAGCGATATAGAGGAGCTACGGTGGGGGTATCAAGGGAGAAATTTGGGGAGGCCTCCAGCCAAGAAAAGTAACCTCATGAGTCGAGACGGGATTTATTGAACATTAATTTCCTTTTACGGATCTAGGTCTAGATAGATGTAAACTGGTTGCTTTTTAATGATTAACGGCTAAACTTATCGCAAAGGACGGATAGGACGCGTCAATCACAATAAGCTTCATCTAAATTCATGCCACCATTTAATGCTGCACAGGACCGTGTTACTATTTCCCGAATATATTCGAGCCACATCCGTTAGCATCCGCCACAGGGCAGTTACGAAACCTTCCATTTTCAAGAAAGCCTTTGTAATCCATGCAAGCTAGCGTCGTGAAAATCATGGTCAACTCTTACTGAGTCCGAACCGGCTACCTTTCGTCTCGAGTAAGATGGGTGTCAAAGCAATTCAGTCTATTTAAAAGATCAGCCCAGATGATGCGGCGCTGTACCATCAAGCAGCGATACTTACTAGATTATCGTCTGCCGCCAAGATTTCAATAACCTACATAGAATGTTTTACTTCAAGTGTTGATGTTGTATCTGCATACGTTAAGTGGATTGTTGCAGGAAGCTTGGCTGGTAAACGGTTATCGTCATGACAGTGGAGCACTTTCAGCACCGAAGTCGTGAGCTGTTTCTACTTTTTAGTGTTTAGTGTTTAGAAATGTAGTAGATCTATACCTACATTGATTTAGTTTATCCTCTTGGAGATCTTTGAATAGTCGGCTAAATGTTCTGATCCCAGCTACTCACATGGCAGAGAATTTAGTAAGTCCCGCTTATGTAAATCGACGGACTAAGGCGGAGAGCCAAAAATCTTTCCAAGATCATACACTTATTTTTTCCAATCCATTTACAGAACACGCATAAACTGTATATGATATATAAAGAATCCTAATTATTCGACTTGTGAATATCTGAATATGTCATTGCTGCTTAAACTAGCGCCATGCCCGCTATTTATTGTATATTTTGGAGCAAAAGGAAGCTGAAATAGTGGCTTGCGACACAAGAGTAGCTAGTTCGCTCCACAGACCTGAAAAAGACTTGGAAAAATTTTAAAGTGGATAACTGCATGTACTAGCCCTTCAGCAAAATATTATGATCTCAAATCACCAAGTATGATTTAGTGTCAATGGCTGATTCTAACGGCTACGCATAACTTAACCATTTATTGCCTTCAAAACATCATCTTAAAGTCACAAGGTGTCCGAGAGCATCTTGTCGATGAGAATTGAGAAGCATTGGAAAATATATACATCCTATTTACTCGCCCAAATATGGCCAAAGCCATCATACTACCCCTTCTGAGCTATCATAGCGAACATAACTAACATCCGTGGATTAATACATGTGCTAGATATATTCAGAATGAAAGATACACTTTAGAGGATCTCCGTCGATCTAATATATTTTTGAGAAGTCAGCCAACTTCAGAATCAATATTTGGATCAATTACGCAAAAAAATTTGCAAAAATTGCACACTAGCTAGATGAAAATTTGGGCACAGGTTTTAATCCACCCAATGATATCCAGAAGCTGGTGCACCTGGCTTACTGTAAGCTTCTTACATCTCCACTTGATACCTATGAAAATAAATTTATTGTGGAGATCTGAGGCCCGAGTTTGCAATTACGAAAGCCACGGGCCTATGCTGGGATTGAAGTCGCCACGTTATTTGGTCCACTATCAAAATTTTCTTGATAGTATTAGGAGAAAAAATTTTGATTCTCAAAAACATTGTGTCATTTCCATATAATGAGTTGAGGTGTTTCTTCTTCATTAGTCTAGAAGATGACTGAAAAAATTAGACGGCTTAAAATTAGCACAAATCTTAACCGGCAAAAAAGTGGGATCGAGAGCCGCCTTTGAATAATGAAGGTCACGTTGAATAATCTCTTCAACACGAGAAGCAATAAGCAGAATAAATTATCTACTTGAGGCTTGATGCAGCCATCACTTTTAGCAAAATATCGAAAATACTACTATCTTCCACGCTAGATTTGCACCCACATAACTAATGTCATTTGGTGATAATGATGATTTTGATAATGCAAGACTGGGCATACAACGAAGGAGTAGTTGCAAGATTTCTGCCTTTAGATTTTAGTAACTGCGACGTATTCAGCGAATGGATAGAATTTAGAGCCATATATCAAAATTTACGCCGGTTATTCAAGAAAATAAGAGACAAAATGCCATTTTTCCCTCAGTATCAAGACAGTTGTGGGGATATTACTGAAAACCAGATTTAAAATATTCACATCTTCCATACGTTTTGCAGAGAGTGCTTGATTATCGACAAGTATGTTTCCTCTAACAGTTGATTAAAAAGAATGAGGTGCTGCCGAGCCACGAATGCAAATTTCTAGACATGGGGTTGCATCTCTTCAAAAAAATTTAAGATGAAAGGGTGCCATCTAGTGTTCAGTTAATAAAGGTTTTGTACCATTATATAAAATGAAGTACTAGCTCAGGTAATGAACATAACACTCAACAAATTTCTTACTTTATCGAAATGATACTGGTCGTGGCTACTAGTTGCACATGCACAAAGAATTCCCAGAGGGGCCAATTTTTGCGTTAGCTCCCCCCTTCAATAGTTACTTCCCTCAGAACACTTAGATGAACGAATATTTATTCAAATCGTCAGCCTAAGACAGCCATTGTGATTCTTCGCTACAATATTCTTCATACCCTCTCATTTTAAAAACCCTTACATTTTACTGACCAGAAATACAAAATGAGCGATATTACTCCAATGCTTTCAAGTTACTCACCGGCTGCTAATCATGATTTGTTGCCACATTCTGTGCCATTCTTTAACTCCACGCTGATGTCGCCACACACACCCCAAAATCGTCTAGATATGAAGATTGATAAATTTATTTACGGCACTGCTTGGAAACAAAATCGTACAGCCCTATTAGTCTACGAAGCCATCAAGGCTGGCTTCCGAAGTATTGATACTGGAGCATTACCTATGCACTACGATGAGAAGCAGACGGGCATTGGAATATACTGGGCGATGGTGGAGGGTATCGCTCAAAGAACAGATCTTCATGTTAGGTAGATACTTAAATTATGTAGAATTTGAACTAACAGCATACTAGATCCAGACAAAATTCGTACCCATGATTTGTCAAGATGAAATGAATGTCCCTTACAATCCATCTGACCATATTCTTAAGCAAATCCAAGATTCTATAATTTCCTCACTACAACACTTCAGTTTCCCGGGCTACGGCCCGGCATATATTGATTCGCTTGTCTTGCATTTACCCCTTTCATCTCGCGCCGAGATCTATTCAGCATGGCGTTTTTTGGAATACTTCGTCCCATTTCCTATCAGGTCTCTCGGACTTTCTAATATAACAGTTGCACAACTACAAGATTTAATCATGAAGACAGGTATCCGTCCTTGTATCATCCAAAATCGGTTCTATCGTTACACGCGTTGGGAAGTACAGCTACGGAATTTTTGTCGTAATGAGGGGATAATTTTTCAGTCTTTTTGGACTCTGACCGCCAATTACTATCTCTGTCGAACGAAAGTAGTAAGAGAGATTGCACAGGAGTTGTATTGGTTAGGAGTCTTTCAACCGGAGATAGTTGCTTTATATGCATTAGTATTGGGACTGGATGGGATTAGTATAATGAACGGCACAACGAATCCTTTCCGCATGAAGGCTGATTTGGACGGGTTAAATCTTGTCAGCAATCTAATAATGGGTGAGTGGAAAGAAAAATGGGTTATATGGGTAAGTACATTCAAGACTATGATTAGCGACTTTGAATGGGAAAAGGAAGATAATTGAAAGTGAGTTTAAGAATGGGCGAGCAAACTAGCGAGTTGAAATTATTTTAACATAACTGAAGTTTTTAGGGTGTATGTCTTGGGTTGGCTTATAGTTAAACGAAGAAAGGCTAGGAAATATTAATCCAAGCACAATGAAACAGGAGATTATCATTATTAATTCATTTTATTGTCCTGTCTGAGTCTATGACTATGTAGGACATGCAGGTCCTCTCTGCCTACAGGCCAAGGATACCTATGCCAGTAGTATATCCTCTCCTATGCCTCCCATACAGCTCCCCTCAAACAGTACCACCCCTCACAGTACCACCCCTCACAAGTCCTCATTCGATCATACACTAAGAGGAGCCCTTTGCCCTTCCTTATCTCCCCTCTCCAACCAACGAAACGATGGCCATTTACGGGCGTATGGCAGCCGGGAAAAATCGCAAAAGCCACTGGGTGCGGAGCTCTCCTAATACCGAAATTAGGACTAGATCCAAAGATATAGTGACCCTTCTGAAGCGTTCGAAGAGGCCGGCCAGCTGGGCGCTGCAGACTTGTGGGTACCTCGGGAAATTCATCGTCTACCTTTCTAGCCTCCTTCCAACTCCTTCCCGAAGGTCGTGCTGAAATGAAAGAAAAGCCTTGACAGAGCGTGATTGCTGTGTGGTTGCTTAGCCCAACTTCTTTTGTGCCATCCAGGGAGCTGGGGAGTGCCGTTGAGTCACCGACAATAGAAGCCCTCCTGGCTAAGTAGCCGAAATCTCGGTCTTGACGCCCACAAACATTCCATAGTTGAAAACCCCTCGAAAATATCGGTCCCAGCATGCTCTTCAGAGACCTGTTCCCCCTCTCGCTCCAAATATTAGCCACCTGTTCCTCCTCAAGTTGTTTGTCCTATTAGAGCAACAGTCCCCCGTAAGCCAAGACCCAGGCTTTGCATATTCTGACTTGATTTCCTCCTTGCGGGTATACGTAGCGTCATAAATATGTAGCAAGAGATGGCCGGAGATTAATGGGGCAAGCTCCTGTATGCAATTGGAGCAACTTCTTTATTAGTCGTTGAGGCGAGATGATGCGTGGTTAGAGAGAGAGAGGTTAAGGACTCGGAAGATAGCGGTGAGTGCTGCATAATAGAGAAGTCGTCATTTGGAGATATGGCTTTATCTACTCTCGACTTCCATTCAGATGCGATTCTTCTTGGCTATCCCAGATGTGCAGAGCATACTGAGCGATTATATTGGCACCACTGGAAGGTAAAGAATTCATCCTTGCCTGCTGAAACAGGAGTTATGAGTGTTTGTAAAACTAGCCTCCTTGATTCAAGGCCTTAAATCATCAAACAAATGATATCTGTACTTTTATTCGGTCTATCCTTCTCAATCGCATCATTATCATCCCAAATACTCAACAGAACTAGTGCCTCTGTTAAATCAAGTGATAAATTGATGTAGATGTTGGAAATTTATTTTATTTGCTATGCGCGAAGTGTTGTGCATCTCTCCGTTGTGGAGTCATTCTCCTGATGGCTCCGCCAATACCACGATGTCTAAGCTCGTTATGTTCTTAGAATAGAATAGAATTAGATAAAGTCTTTACTGAGTCTGTGACTATGAGGGACCAATGTAATTATAGAATATAGTGACAATACACACTTCACTTTGGAACCTTTCGTTTTGTATTGAATTAATCCTACGTGTATATACTTTGAGGCCAATCGACAATAGACACAATTTATGATCATTTATTCTTCCGCTTCGGTTAGGTACGAAACGGGGCGACAGTATTGTAGCGCTAATAATCTTCGTACTTTAAATATATGTTTGTCGAGAATATTGACCTTTGAGATGAAGTATTTGGTCCATTTCTACGAGTGATCTGGCTGTCATTATTATTTGATTATCCCTCGCCAAGTACAATCGTAGGCGGGACTCAGTCTCGTGCTTGCAGAAAATGTATGATGCGCTTACGAGCGTTAAATTCCAATATGGGAAAAATATCAATGTCTATTCAGACATCCATTTAGTCATACATCATTACTCGTCAGCAGGCGAGATCAGTTTGTGCCAAGTGCCTACATTCACTTCCATTCTATCCTTTTCTCATGGAAAGAGTCCTCTTTTACATTCTTGCGGGGAACTACGTGGAGGCTAGCAGCTAGTATCCTGAACTCCCAGTTCACAATCTTCAGCTCCGTATGAGTGGTTGATTTACATTGAACGCCAAGGAGGTACGCGTGGTGAGCTCTGCCTCCGAGCCCTTCAAAGAGCGCTAGGAGGCGGCAATAATGAATTCTTTACCTTCCAGTGGTGCCAATATAATCGCTCAGTATGCTCTGCACATCTGGGATAGCCAAGAAGAATCGCATCTGAATGGAAGTCGAGAGTAGATAAAGCCATATCTCCAAATGACGACTTCTCTATTATGCAGCACTCACCGCTATCTTCCGAGTCCTTAACCTCTCTCTCTCTAACCACGCATCATCTCGCCTCAACGACTAATAAAGAAGTTGCTCCAATTGCATACAGGAGCTTGCCCCATTAATCTCCGGCCATCTCTTGCTACATATTTATGACGCTACGTATACCCGCAAGGAGGAAATCAAGTCAGAATATGCAAAGCCTGGGTCTTGGCTTACGGGGGACTGTTGCTCTAATAGGACAAACAACTTGAGGAGGAACAGGTGGCTAATATTTGGAGCGAGAGGGGGAACAGGTCTCTGAAGAGCATGCTGGGACCGATATTTTCGAGGGGTTTTCAACTATGGAATGTTTGTGGGCGTCAAGACCGAGATTTCGGCTACTTAGCCAGGAGGGCTTCTATTGTCGGTGACTCAACGGCACTCCCCAGCTCCCTGGATGGCACAAAAGAAGTTGGGCTAAGCAACCACACAGCAATCACGCTCTGTCAAGGCTTTTCTTTCATTTCAGCACGACCTTCGGGAAGGAGTTGGAAGGAGGCTAGAAAGGTAGACGATGAATTTCCCGAGGTACCCACAAGTCTGCAGCGCCCAGCTGGCCGGCCTCTTCGAACGCTTCAGAAGGGTCACTATATCTTTGGATCTAGTCCTAATTTCGGTATTAGGAGAGCTCCGCACCCAGTGGCTTTTGCGATTTTTCCCGGCTGCCATACGCCCGTAAATGGCCATCGTTTCGTTGGTTGGAGAGGGGAGATAATGTAGGGCAAAGGGCTCCTCTTAGTGTATGATCGAATGAGGACTTGTGAGTGGTGGTACTGTGAGGGGTGGTACTGTTTGAGGGGAGCTGTATGGGAGGCATAGGAGAGGATATACTACTGGCATAGGTATCCTTGGCCTGTAGGCAGAGAGGACCTGCATGTCCTACATAGTCATAGACTCAGACAGGACAATAAAATGAATTAATAAAAGAGCGTTGGGCCCGCTCGCGCAGCCTAAGGCCGCCAGGCGCTTCTATCGTCTTATTGGCACCCTTGTTGTTCACACCAGTAACTTGGCTTCACACTGAGCCTTTTAGGCTCAGAGTTAGTCCTACTGTTAAAAGCTACCATAGTTGAGGTGGTTACTGTGAAAGAGGGCGATACGTACAGCTAAGATAAAGTATAATGACCCTGATCGGACTGGCAATGTATTCTGTTAAATGTCCAGTTTGCCTCAAGCATATCCTAAGAACATGAAGTATATAGATTAGTTGTTGTAGATAGAGAGTTGGGTATGGAAGTATTGGAAGCTGATTCGAGAGCCCACCATTATTATTATATGAGCTTTATTTACGAGTCAAATTGAGTGTACTCAATCCGTCCTCTGTTGGTTACGGCCACGCTCAGAGATATCCGAGAGATCCATATAAATTTGTAACATCTATCTTGAGTATTCTCTAGTATTTGAAGTCTTATTCTATTTTATTTTTGTTGTTCCCCCGCCCCCAATATCACCCAGAAACCCCCCCAGGCACAATTATACGGCTGTGCCTCTGCACTATCTTTCAAATGCTAGCGCACCGGCTGTTCAGCCAACAGCCCACCTAATATTGCTCTCTAGACCTCGTAAAGTCTTGGGGCGGGGCTTTTATATGCCTCTGTGTCATCTACGCGTAAAAGAGTGCTCCAGTAATCTGTCCTCGTCGCAATTGCAAAGGAGGACTATATCTTTGAGCTTGAATCTTCTGTAGTAGGCCACCAATAGTAAGCCTAGACTTGTTCGAGAGAGTAGTCTTAATTCTGTTGGTAAAACACGAAGTAATACAAATTGGGTGCCGTCACGGTGTCAGCTGTCTGTCACGAAGTCGGTGAATATAGTCAATTAACTAGTATCTCAAAATACATAAAATGTTGTCTCTCCCTCTACCTCTCCATCTCCCCTTTCTTCCTCTACTACAAGCGCCTCGCTATGAGCTAAGTCAGATCCCTGTCAGTGTCCTAGCAACAACCTGAATACCGCAATAAGATAGAACAATTCATACTGCCCAAATATAATCCTTTTACGGACAATTTCCAAAAAAGGGAAGAGACCATCTAGCTACACGAAGGTCTTTAGAGGCTCAGTTATTGCTTAATCCCAAACCACGCCAACTACCATTCTACTTCCGTGACACTCCGCCCTGTTCCGCCTCTGTCTTGTCTCGCCTTTGTCCCGTTCCAATCACATCATGTTCTGATCACATCCTGTACCAACTACATCTGTCCCGTTCCAACCATTGTCCTCCAAACTAAGCCAACAATCCTGACATTATGTTACGGCCTTGTATTCCTGACCCTCGGGGCCTCTATTACTATTGTTCCTTCCAAATATTGTGTTGTGATCCTACATACGCACGGACCAATTGTAAATTATGTATATATGTATATCTCTAGATACCTCTTGTTATTTTCTTCCCTTAGTTTAGAATCTTATGAATTATATTCCAGATCTGAGTCCTTACCTGATTCGACTTGTTCATCTGCTAACCTGTGCTCCCTTCTGGTCGTCACACATTACATCTTTTGGGTTTTGGTGTGATAGCTGTTAAGCCTAAGGATTCCTGTAGTCTACGCTGGCTAGGG